AATCAATTAAATATTATTTGCCTTGTGCGTTTAGAGGCAAAACATTAATTAAAATTGATAATATAGCAAATTCACTCAATCTTTCTTGTGACATAGTTGATCGAAAATAAGTTTTGATCAACTTCAATTTGGAGAAATTTCTTTCTGTAGATGCAACTATAATCGGTATGGTTAGCAAAATTTTGTAAGCAATATAAGCATTTGGAAAACGACCGTTCAATGTCTTCAAATATATGTCAATTACTCTTGTTGCTTCACTTAGTATATAGCACCTCAAGATATATAACTCCGAACATAAATCATCTATATAAATGTTCCAATGCCCATTATGTTCCAGATACTTTTCAAGATTCATACAAGACTTTAACAAAGGAGAAAAGTTGTACGCCTTAATCTCTTCAGATGTTTTTTTATATTGTTGTTTCTTTGTCAGAATGTTTTGTTTTGTTCGTTTACTAATATATTCTTATTTAATTTGCCTAGTTATAATCAATTCTCCCCACTTATTCAATTTTTTTTACTACTTCCAACAATAATTTAATATTAATTGTTGATAAATAAATAAATAAGGGTAAACTAGGAAAGTTTTTGACAAAAAATGCTTTTTCAATAATATTAAAATAAGATTTTTTAATCTGTGTGAAAAACAAAATTAGCCTATATAAATTGGACAGACGGAGTAATAAAATTGTAACTTAAATATTTAAAAAATAATAAGAAATACTCTCTCAAATTATTTATTTATAATTTAAACTGTTTATAAAGACTTCACATACATGTCTCATTATATGATGTCGTTTTTATTATTTGTTTATTTATGTTACAAGCCTATGCAAACATGGTTAAAAAATCTAGCTAGCCTGATTCCTACATGTCGTGATCAACGTGAAATTATAATCGAGGATTGACAAACCGGAAAAGAAGCTATTGCTATCGATACCACATTAAACCAAAAGCAATAGAGGTCGAAGACAACCTCTAAGAGTAAGTCATTGTATTGTGTCTATGTAAATGGGATAGAAATGCTCAACTGTGACACAATTAGTTCAAATTCTTTCAAAAGAAGTGTGACAATTGTTTACGATACACGGTTTGGAAAGTATTTATAAACGAATTAAATTATAAATAAATAAAAATTATTAATGAATAAATCGATAGCATCTGTGCATCTATGGATTAAAAAAGACTTGAATATTTATAAACAGCTAATACAGTTAAACCTCGATAAAGTAATGTTCGCTAAAGTAATAACCTCGATTATATAATTTCTTTCAATCCCGACTTGGGCCAATGGACTAAAGTAATAATCTCGCTAAATGCATTAAGTAACAAAAAAAAAAATTTTGAATCCTTAAGGGCCCAATAAAAATATAAAGTAATAATTACTGAATTTCATTGAGAAAAAAAAATATATATATAGACCAAAATCTTTCAATCAATCAACAATACTCGTACAATAATCATTCCTTTTGAAAATATGCATCTATAGTTGATTGTTTTTTCTTCCCATCTAAACCAAAATGAACCACATCCTTAACTTTTTGTAGAGCATACATAATTTCAGGAATATTTTGCTCGTGTTGTAGCAAATAGTTGCTGAAGGTGACTATTGCTTGAAATGCCTCTTTTGACGACACATTTGGGACAACGCTACTATTATCTGGTTCAGGATCATTCTCATCATCATTACTGTTAATTACCGATTGAATAATTTCTTCGTCTGTAGGTGATTCCATAACTGCATCATTCTCGCTAGGATAGTTCAAGAGATGTTCAACATCCATCACATTTCTATAGTGTAAATTAGAGATGACATCATTTAATCCTTGGATACCTTCATCTAATTCACCAACTTCTGGTCCGGGAACATTGTTTTCTTCTGACCGAATCTTGTAATGCCGAAAACAATTTACAATTGTTGTTGTCTTTACATCAAAATTCCAAGCCATGTTAGCAAAATTAATAGCATTCAAAATATTAATTTTCTCAAGATTTGGTACTTCAACTTCAAGGCCTTGTAAGATGCTAGAATAAAAACGACGACTATAATGAGCTTTGAATGCTCGAATAATCTCAGCATCACATGGTTGAATCTTAGACGTTGTGTTAGGAGGTAAGAAAAATAACTTTACATTTCTCAAGGATTCAACTACCTTTGGATGAGTTGGGCAATTGTCTTCTATTAAAAGAACATTCCTGCCATTCATTCTCTTATCAAACCAATCAACAAAAATCTTGAAAAAGCAAGCCAGTCATCCAAACTTTCTTGTTGGATCGATACTTGCAATTAAGATTGTTCATATTCACATTTTTAAAACATCTAGGATTTGCATACTTACCAATAATCCAAAGTGGTACTTTGTCAGATCCATCACCATTGCAACAAACAACAACAGTGATTCTCTCCTTATCTTTTTTGCGTCCTTCGAGCTGTTTGGTAGCAAGTGAATGATCAGCTTCCAATCGGTAAAATAATCTAGTTTCATCCATATTGTAAATATCCTTCAACTGAAATTGGTCTAATTTTGATCGTATTCCAGGCAAAGCATTTTCAATGCTGTCCATGATAACTGAACCACTTTCACCAAAACGTCGATAAGATTTGATTCCACATCTTGCCTTGAAACGTTCTAACCATCCAATAGAAAAGCTGAATTCTGGATTAGTTTCACCATACATTTTTTGCAAAAGCTCTTTTGCTTTTCCTTGGATAATTTCTCCAGACATGTTCACTTTATCTTGTATTTAAAGAAACCACTCATACAAAACTCTCTAAATCAGGGTATTTTGCCAATTTTTGCCTTTTAATATCGCTATTTTTCATCTCATTTGACAAATATTCCGACGCCCTTTTGAGAGTGTTCGATATTGTTGATTGACTAATAGTCAAATCAAACTTTTGTTGCACCCATACTTGCATATCTTTTTGGCCAATAGTTCAATTCTCTTTCTTATGCTCACATATTGCACTCCTCATTTTATCGGTTAAAGTTGATTTTTTTTACTCCTTTCAAACGATGAGAAAACATTGGAGAGGAAACAAAATATTGTATGTGCTTGGAATATGTCTTCCAAACATCTAGCTTTTATAGGTAAAGACTAAACATTTTCATTTGCTATGTACGTGAACTTAGTTTTTAAAGACATTAAGTTTCACTAAAACTTTTGAGCTTCCCTATATTCAAATGATACTTAGATTAGTGTCTTTTGATTTTTCTTACCACAAAGCTTTTCAATATAAAATAATTTATTCATTTATCGATAAATAACCTCACTAAATGAATATTTTTTTCTTATCCCGAGGGTATTACTTTATCGAGGTTTAACGGTAAACATGAACCAAACATAGGCTAATGTCAATAAGCAAATCTTCACACAAAAACAGGCTGCAAAATGGGAAGTAAACAGCATTTTAACCAACTTAGGAATAATAGCTCGCATCCAGTACGGCAGTACAGCAATATTGCTTTCTGTACACATTCCATACATCTAAAATAAAACACCAGAATAAGAATAAAATCAAAATCAAAATTCCAAGATCTGAGTTTTTAGAACAAGAAACTGAGAGAAAAGTTCTTGAAATTATAAAATATAAACTTAGGGACATTCCTGAATGAAAGCCCTTATTGAGAAGTGACACATAAATTATGAAACAAAAAGCTAACTTCATGTTCTTTTGGGATTACAGAACACAAAAAACTATCCAAAGAATCAATGAAAATTTTGCAGAACAAATTTCAAGTGTTCGATCACAATTTTTTATCTACACACATACCAATCCCGCACTCTTCCAACTATATGATGCTTAACGTTGATGACCAGAATGCTTAAGGGGATGCCAGAGTCTTTGCCTTATGATTCATATAAAACTCGAAACCAAGTGAATTTTTTATCTTCTGTATCTAATCACAATCCAGCCCACATACTTCTAATACAATTCCATCCCTAGACAGGAATGGGTTAATCCGGACCCATAACAGTGAGAAGATAGAAGCCAGAAGAATCGACCAAACTATGATGATGGTGGGTACTCGGTCCTGCTTCCCCATAAGCCCTTTGAGGAAGGGGTATAAATGGACAATGACCCATAAGGCGAAAAATAGCCTGCCAAATAGAGGTCCCCATGACTCGTACCCATTGCTTATGGCATCTGAAACCCCGACTATGACCCCAATAATGTTGATAATCAACAATGTCAACGGAGGGATTAACAATGATGTCCACTTAAAGAGGTAAAGCTCGGCAAAATCTCCATCGTCCCCTCCTTTGGATGTAACAGTGAAGTTCGTGTTCACACCAGCCAAAACCTTGAGAAGTCCTTGCAATAGTGCAAAAAAGTGCGATGAGACACCACCAATCACCCAGAACTGCTCATTTCTCCACCAATCATCAATGCCAACACCGCCCCATTGCATCTCGAGGATACCAGTTGCAGCAATTGAAATAAAGAGGCCCATGAATATTATGCTGGCGTAGTTACTAATCTGTAGACAATACGAGAAAACCATCAGCTAAAATTGCCAAGCAAGCTAAAAACAAAGCAATCCTGATAATTCAAAATTAGAATTCCAAAGAAAATTAACACGTTTAAGGGTTGCCATTTCATTCTTATACCAGAAGGCTAAGGTCTATTTTATATACCATAAGGCTATTAAATCTCGCTATAATGGAGAGAAATTCAGGAAAAGCATTAAAAAGCCCAAAAATAAAATAAGCAAAATATGGCTAGCATTACCACACTTAATAGTTGAACTCAATACTTAGGCCATATATGGCATGCAAAGAGCTCACCTCAGGGACGATAAATTTCCCAGTAAGGAGGCAAACTGCTGGCAATGTGCAATAAGCAATCAATGGAATAGACGTCAATGGATACACGACGGAGTTTATATATGAAAATCTCTCCAGCGGTTTCAGACCACACCCATATCCATACCAGATGGGACAGTGTCTGCTCAAGAAAATTTCAACTGATCCCAAGGCCCAACGAAGAACCTGGTGCAAACGATCTGAAAGATTAATGGGAGCCGACCCCTTGAACGCAGGCCTTCTGGGCATGCAGTAAACTGAACGCCAGCCATGACAGTGCATCTTGAACCCAGTCAAGATATCTTCAGTAACAGATCCATAAATCCATCCAACCTGTTATGTAGAATTGTTAAGAGTTGATGCACAGATATGACATTTTGAACAAAAATTAAAAGAGAAGCAAACTTCATACAGTCAACATGTACCTCTTTTCCCCAGTCTGTTTTATCTTCATACCCACAACTAATTACATGAATTGCTTCTTTCAAGAGTGATGCAGATGTGGCTCCTGGAGGAACACCGCCTTCTTCTAGCAGCGTCGAAGCAATGAAAACTGGTGATTGTCCAAATTTTTTCTCAAATTTTATCTGGGGCATGAGGGCTGATTTCTCACTGTCAATTCCTGCGAAAGGATATCTTGTTAAATGAAAGACATAAAGTTCATGGTGTCTGTTGCAGAATCAGAAAGGACCAGTTCTTAAAGAAGCAAGTTAATCTGACTGCAGCCCATTTCTGCCACAACTTGGCGTAGAAATATGAGGAATACAATTAAATAAACTAAGATTTAACCTTTTGCATTATTCAAAAAGAAAGAGCTCTCAAATATGAATTCTCCATTGAGATTTTCCAACAAATTTATGCAACGAATGCACTAAGACCATATCACAATGGTTGAATTAATTTCAAGCAGATATAGGCAGCCACAAGGGCACATATTGATATTCTTTATTGGCTAATATAAAAAAATAACTGTCAGTGAAAGTAAACCTATTTATGTAAAATTTAATGTTGATGCCATTTATGTAAAATTTAGCACCTGTTTGGCCTCCATTATTCCACGTTATAATGAGAGGAATAGTAATTTTTTGAAAAATGTGTGGTTACAAAAGAAGGAAAATTTTTTGGGTTTACGTGTAATATTATTTTATTGGAGAATGTGTGGTTGATAAAAAGAGAGAAAAAAAATGAACCACAATTTAATAAGAAATAATGGAGGCCAAACGGGGGCTCAATGTTGATGCAATTTCGCGTCAAATTTCTTACCTTCAATTCCTTCCTCAATATTTTCAAGAGCATGAATCTGGGTGGAAGTTTCCCTGGCCTTTGTTGTCTTCTTTTTATCCTTAGTTTTGCTTTTCTTGTTCCTTTTTCTGGATTGACAAAAGCAGCAACACCATTTCGGCAAACAATTGCATGTTTTACCTGGGGGTTTTGTCTTCTTAGGGGCATCATATCCATAAAGTGCTTGCCTTCGGAAGACACATCCAGTTCCGACATAAATTGGACCTTGAATACCGTCAAGACCTTTCATATTTATCTGTTTTCAATTAAGATTTAGCCTATTATAAGTTGACAAATAAAAAGCATATACAGGCATATAAATCAAAATGGTTAAACATATGAAGAAGCAAGGAAAGGACTTCACGTACATCAAAAAATACAACATTGCGATTTGAATATCTATCATGTCGATCAATTCCATCAAATCTTTGCGGGAATTGCACATAGCAAATTTTCTTTCCAGCTTGAGGGTCCATCATGAAACACATAGCTTCCCTTAGAGCCTTACAGTTATTTATGTAGTGATCACAATCAACATTAAGAAGGAAAGGAGCATTTGAGATCACAGCTGACACGCGAACCTTCACATACAGTTATTAAGGTAAAAAAAAAAAAATCATCGATTAGACAAGCTCAAAACATTAGGAATACAACATAAAATGAAAACGAAAAAAATATATAAACAGGAGGAAGAGATAGACAGTTACCAAAGCATTCATGGCACCAGCCTTTTTGTGGTGCTCAAATCCTGGCCTCTTCTCACGAGAAACATAAATAAGGCTAGGCAACTCGTTCCCTTCGATATCATGAACACCATTATGACCAAGGAACACCTGTTGGGCAAAATAAAATCAATACTAAAATATTTGGCATCTTAATGACTAGGCACCACCATCAGTATGACAATAAGCAGATGACTTTGATGGAAACGCTAACCATACCTGAATCATTCCAGGATGATCCCTGACGTTGTTTCCTGGCCAAGGAGTTCCATCCTGCATGGTCCAACCCTCCTCAGGAACCTTTTGTGCCATGGCAACCAAACCATTTATTCGAACTTTAAACTCTTCGTATTCTCTCTGCATGAAGCCAGTTGTAGAAGGAATTTTTTATTAATCACAGTAAAATCCCAAAATTGAGGTAACTCAAAAAGGATAACTCGTCGTTTCTGTCAATACTTTATCGCGTGTATGGTACACGAAAGAGTAGACAGTATAATAAACATGAATTTAGCTTCTTTTCTTCTTTAAAATAATATCCAATCTTGCATACCAAACATGCCATAAGTGACTAGAACTAAATGAGGCTATATTCACTGAACTAAAGAAGAATTGGCAAACGAAATCCAATGACGTTTTCAGAAATCAACTTTTTTATTTCTTTTCCAAACAACTCAGTTTTATAAAACTTACAAATCTAAAGAAGTAACACAAAAACGAAAAATGGAAAGTTCTAACTTTCAAATAGATCAAAGGGAAAAGTGTCACACCTTCATTGCACGACGTTCCCGCACAAATGTGGGTTCCACCTTGTCTCTCAAATAGTCAACCTTCTCAGCAAAGTACCATTCGGGTGCCCGAGGCTCAATGTTAAATTTCTTGCAGAACGGGACCCATTTCCGGGCAAATTCAGATGTCTCTGAAAGGGCTTCAAAAGTGAGCATGGCAGCACCATCATCTGAAACATAGCAGGCAACTTTGTCCACTGGATAATCCACAGCAAGGATGGAGAGAACTGTGTTTGCAGTAATAAGTGGAGGTTCTTTCAGTGGATCCACAGTACTCACAAATACGTCTACAGGAGCTAGTTCAGATGGTTTCCCTTCTTTCTCATACCTGGTATGAAGTTCAATGAATTATCAATTATCAGATGACTTGAGGTAGAATACAGAGATACCAGGGGATGGGAGCTAATACCTCAGTGAGAGTCTATCTAAATACGTTTCTCGCTCGATGGGGAACCACTTTGGAAACTGATCAAATATCCACGAAACAGCAAACCATATCTCGCATATAATTGATGTTAGCCATAAGCCATATGCATCATTGACAGGGTGGAGAATCCTGTAGTGAAAGAATAACCCTAGAATTACCATTCGGAGCAGAATGATCATTCGGTAGGGGTTTATCCTGCTCGAAGAAATTGGTAATTTTCTTGAAAGTGGTTGTCTGCCTTCATCCATCCTGTAAGCAAGGATAGAAATGTCACGATTTTACAAGAAAATTACAGAAGCTACAGAAGCAATCTTCATTTTTTCCAAAAGCTAATTGTCAGAATAATATGATTTTTAAGTAAAGTTTCTAGACCTAGGATTATTGTCAGCTTGAACATTCAAAACTTAGATTTAAAACCTGATATACAGTAAGGTTTCGACAACTTAATACGAAATTGTGCATAAGTCAACTAACAAGTTATTAAAGTTTATACCTTCCATTTGCAGTGTATATGTTACAACAATTCACACATGATCCTTCACTCCTCTCTCTCTCAAATTCATAACAAATCCGCTTGTGACAAAATATAAAAGAGGTTTTAAAAAAATGGGCATTCAGTTACGACGTTCTACAGGCCATGATTTCCAAGAGAATCGCATATAGAACGCGAAACAGATGAGTAGACCGAAAAAAAAAGTATATTCCCAACTTCCAAGGGAATTGCCAGTAGCTAACAAATAATTGGAGTGTTTTACCATAAATCACTCACGGTTATTGGGCAGTTACTTTAGAGCCCAGTAGGCCAAGGTCGGTGCAATAAAGCAGACCATTTTCTTCTAAAGAGCACGAAACACTTCATACACAACCAATCAAATATCGCATTCATAAGCCTAGTAAATAAAGCCTTATGGTATATAATCCTCAGTATAAAATTCAAAAAAAGAATATACTTTCCCTAAGTAACAACAGTACCAAGCCAAAGCACTCATAAACTATGAAACACAGAAAACTAAAAATAATAAGACTAAAAGTCAGATCACCGACACTAATATAATTATAATGCATATGATAAAAGAAACAAAACTGGTGGACCTACTTGGGTAAATCAGGATCGTCCATTTCATCTCCACCTTTATCTCCTTGATGCTTCACCACTTGAAGTTTATCATTCTGCTTTTTCTTCCATTCCTCCATTCTTTCCTTCCAGGCAATGGTACCGTACCCATACACAGCTAAATCTTTCTTAGGATCCATTGGACGGGGTGGAACTGCCATATCAACAGGTACATTAAACTTCTATCCAATCCCACCAAATTAATTAAGAAACCGCACAAGTAAATCTTGATGAACTTACCAGTCATGGAGGAATCAGTAAATGGCATAGGATGGATTCGCTTTCCCCGACCCATGAATGGGGGAATAATGAGAGCATGCTTGTCAGCTGAGATCGTATCATCCTTCATCAAAATGTAAAGATCACCAACGGTCATTCATCAAAATGAATTTTTTCGCCAAAATTTTCAACTCATAGACTACATTAAAGCATTCAAAACAAGATCAAAAATAATTAAGCCTCAATCTACCTCTTGACCATAAGTAAGAAGAGGGATTTCAGAGCCAATGGCTGCCGAATCCAACTCGGATGAAGTTGTAATTCCAGAAGCACTTCGACCAATATTAGGGCGAGTCGAGAATGCTGCTTCAGCAATCTGATGAGGATTCCTCTCATTGCCATTGTAATCGAATTCGTTATCCAAATCATCAAATTCATCCTCGTCTTCATCTCCATCCACTCTAGGACTCCCTAAAAAGGAAAATTAAGTCTTTTTAGTTAAACTGTTGCCAAAAGCAGAAGTCATTGAAGAGTGACTTAAGTAAAAGATGAGAAAATGAGAAGAAGCATCAATGAATTACCTTTCATGCGCTTGTATCTGGTTTTGCACTGAGGACAAGCTTGATTACCCTCTCTTCTTTCATACTCATAGCATGGTCTACAAACAGGGAACGCACATTCATTGCAGGCTACGAAAGGCTCCCCATCCACAGTAATTTCAATTTCATCTCCACAAATCTGACAAATCTGCCCACTCAACTCTTTTACGGAAGTCACCTGCCATCAGATCAAGAAATTTTAACATTCCACCAGGTGAAACAAAATCTTAGTAAAAATGCATTAGCACTCATAAATTTACAAAAATTAGATTTGAGAACGAAATCTACTAGATTTTTGACGGTTGTAAAATCAAGAAAAACTACTTATTCATATACTAAAATTTAGAATTTTGGGTCAAGTTTTAAGACAAAAATGTGAAATTTTTGGGTCAAATCTGAGTTTCCGGGAGGAAATCAAGCCAAAAAGACCGAAATTTTTAAGTAGGAATGATATCCATGAACCTGAAAATACAATTTGACTGAAAATAAGAAACTAGACACTGCATCTTGTCAAGTAACTCAAAACAAGCAAATTTTTACTGGAGCTGCGACTGTGAATTCCAACCAATTTGAGAGCTGAAAGTGTATATAAGGGTTAATAAGAATGATTTTTGAAGGCCCTTACTCTTCCAATCTCATCGGCATTGATGAGTACAAATTCATTCCTGTTGTGTGAACCAGCCACAAGCCTCCCTTTAGTATCCATCTTCAAAAAAACAAAACCTTTCACTCGCTCACACAGAGACACACAATTACAGCTTCTTCGCAATCAAGAAGAAGAGAGCAAAAATAAAAAAGACTCGAGGCCCATTCGCACACGTCAAAGAAAGAAAGAAATGAACGGCCCCTTTCGGTTTCTTGTCTTCTTAAACACCTCCCCTTCACAAACAATCACTGAAATTGATACATTAACAGATCCATAAAATAATATATATTATTACAAAGAGTCGTAAAGAACAGAAAAAAAAAAAAGTGGGTAATTATAAAGAGGGAGTGGTGTGTTGTTTTTCTGATTCTTTTTCCAGAGAGAAACCCCTGTTTATGGTTAAGGGTCTCTCTCTATCAATTATTTCTCTCTAATCTGTGCTGTGGGGAGTGGATCAGAGAATCACTTGCCACGGGTTGAAGAAGGGATCGACAAGGACAAAAAAATGTATAATGTACGTATTTATTTTCCTTAAAACATAGAGAGAGGAAAATTCAACGCGTAATGAATACGGAAAGCAGATTGGTTTTTGGTAGACGGATCAAGAAATAGGGAGAGTGAAGAGGTGGGGGTGGCGGGCCCCACCGTGAAGCGGTGGTGATTGGAGGCAGCTGAGAGGGGTATTTGGGTAAATTGAATCTTTCTGTCTTCTCTCTTTAGGTGAGGACATTTACAACTCTCACGAGTTGTCTCTATTAGTACTATAATTTTGTTTGGAGTTTTTCTTTTTGCTTCTCAATAGATCTCACGCGTAAGTCGAATGTAATATAAGGTTTAATTGAGTTCCGTTTCTTGGGTTAATATATTTTAGAATGGGAGATGCTTGAAGTACGTCTCAAAAACAAAGGTGGGGCTTGCAAATTTTATTTATTTTTAAATACATGTGGGACCCGCCCACACAATGAGGGGCCTGTAAGGCCCCTGTGAAACCTGCACCTCTAAGTGCAGCTTTATTCTTGGGAAGAGTTCAAAAGTCAAGGATTAACTATACACAATTCAAAATGTCATATGTCACATATTTTAAAATCAATTGATCATAGACTATTTCGAGGTCACATATAAAAAATTTAGTCCGTTACAGATTATTTCGAGATCACATATTTTTAAATTAGTTGATCACAAATTATTTTTAAGTCACATATTAGGTCACAGTTGAGTAATTGGTCACAAATTACCAAACATTTGGTAACAGACTACGGCCACTTTCGACCACCCTCACCAAGCCAACACCACCACAACAGCACTAACAAAGCCACTAATAACCACCTCCACCACCAATCACTTGCATATTACCTATTTTATAGGTTACAAATGTCAAACACTTGCATATTACATGTTTTATGGACCACTGAAATTCCACACCCGCATTACAGATATGAAATTGGGTCTTGGTGATCTACCGCTAGTTTGCCACACCTGAAACATGATTGGGTTTATTGTCTGGCCTTGGTAACATCGGTAGCAGTGAGCATACTGGTTCCTTTCTCGTTGCCAATTGTAACAGGGACCAGAAGGTTCCCAATCTAAAGGAAAATAAGTGGTTTCTACTTGTACTCTAAAGGAAAAGCTTCGTCATTGGCTTCGAGAAGCAATAGATGCTCCTGGTAAAACTTCCGAACTTGATTTGCCACCCGCAATAGCACAATCTGTCTGCGGTCTTGTATGGGGAAGAGTCCTCCAAAATTCCCTCATTTATTGACCTGAGACTACCCCCGCCCCCCCTCTAGGATCCTCAATGCAATTTGAAGAAAACGAAGAAGAAGAGGAGATCACATTTAGCCAATCAAGACACTCAAGTGGTTGCCAGTAACTGCCAAGATAGCCACCCTGGAGAACATGTTTGTTCGTCATCCGTTCTTCTAGAGCCAGCCTTTCCTCTACATTCAAACTCGAGTGCGGGGTTTCAGGATTCCCTAGGATTGAGCCAAACTTCAACATAACTTCTCTCAATCCGAAAATGACGAGCCTATCATCTTCATCCGGGACAACTACAATCAAGAAAGTGACTGCAGTGGGCGCTCCTCAATGGTGACGGCGGCAAGAAAGAGGGTAGAGAGAGGGAGAGACGAGAATCGAAGAGGAAGAGGAATAGAAGAAAAATGATTTAGGTTTTGTTTGGGATTAGGGCTAGGGTTTTAATATATTACCTGATTTTTGAATAAATAAACTTTGTACCTGATTTTTGAAAAACAATCTTTAAACACCTGATTTTTTGTAATTTCTCATTATCCTTTTAGAATATTGATTTTTTAGAGAATATATGATTAGAAAGTAGAAAAAAATTGAATTTAAATGTAAAGTTATTTTATTAAGTAAATGGCGGATTGAAAATGATTTTTTTTAAAAAAAATAATTTTATAGAAAGAACTCAAACACGGACATACGTAAATATATAAAATTTGTGAAATTGAAGTAGGGTAGACAAAATTTTGTTCATAAAAATGTAATTATTCCCCTGTTTGGTGCATATTTTTGCTCTAAGAATATATATTTTTTTATAGTGTATAGTGAGAATTTCATAATTGAATATAGAGATCGAGGTTCATTACTATTGTGATAATTTTGTGAAAAATGGGCGATAATGAATAATAATTGAGTTAAATCTAGTGGAGATTATTTTAATNGTCAACTATTGTGTTTGTTTTTTATTCTCAAATTCTACAGTAAATCAATTCTCATTTTCAACCACACATTCTTCAATAAAATAATATTTTCCATCACATCAATAATTTTTTCTTTTTTTTTCAACCACACATTTCCCATCAGATCACTATTTAAAAATCAATTATTCCCCCAAAAATTCATACCAAACAAGCACTAAATACAGTAATAATTAGTAGAAAAATAATATTTCCACAAGAAGTGCCAAAACTCAAAAGAGAAGAAAATGAGGTCCATCTTTCATTTTCTTGATAGATTGACCAAAATGCCCTTGTTGCAATATTCAAGATGGAATATCTGTATTATTTAAAATATTTTAACTGCGGTTTTGGAAAATTGAATAGTACTGGACGAATGTATTTTCATATAATTACGGTAGTTTTTTTTTTTTTTTTTAAAACCTAAAATGCAGTATAACTGTGTAAATATATGTTTTACTTGCAGTCAATTAACATATTTTTAACTCAATATAATTCTGCTAAACGCAATTAAGAGTGTGTATTAACATCGACTTTTACTGTCATTTAAAGTTAATTTGACCATTCAAAGTCATCCAAATCTAGGTTAGAATGTCCTGAAACAAATGACAAAACAACAGAAATTAATTACATGTTCATTTACAGCAATTATTCATAAAGAAATATACATACATGTTTTCCACACTACAATTGTTTCAGAAGGAAAAAAAACACTTTTAAAAGATCGTATATTAGTATCATTTCGCGATTTCCCCGCGACGGTAAATTCAATCTAACTTATTAATGGCCCATGTGGTGAGACATTTGAAAAGTTAAAAATTATTTTTGAAATTAAGAAATTATTTTTGAACCTATCTGAAAGTGCATCTTCTGATAGAAGTTCTTTTGGCTTTGGCTTTCTTTTCCATGGAAGATGGAAATTAAATTCTATTCCACATTTTTTTGATTTTTTAGGAAAAACTTTTCTAGACAACTTTTATTTTAATTTTTTTTTTTTTTTGCAATGGAAATAAATTTTATTCCTTTAATGAACAATTTTCATGAAAAACAAAGTCAAACGAACACTAAAAGATCCAAAATTTCAATATTTTTCACGTGAAAATTGATACCAATCAAACACAATTAATTGACAATTCTCAGTAAACAAGTTTTAGGCAATTCAGTTCCCTAAAATTTATTTTCTTTCCACCAAATTTCATTTTTACAATCAAACGAACCCTCAAAGAAATATGTTTCAATGTAACTTTCTTATAAAACTTTTATATAAAAAGCAGAAGCATTGCTACGATGGAGACGAAACCAATTGTTTAAAAAAAGTTACGGGGGTTACCCCGCGATGATTGTACCCTAATAAGTAAATTGCTGACTGGAGTAAATTCCTTGAAGGGTCAGGTAACCCCACAACGTGCCATTCTTATGGTGCTTTTTTTCTTTTAATTTTACTGATTGCAACCACAGTGTTCCCTTCACTTGCACATGATATTGGGCCATTGGCCATGGCTTCACCCACACACATTGCCATGTGAAAAAAGAGTTAAATCTATACATTCCTTTCCCCTTTCACCCCTCCCGATAAAGAAAACCTAATTTGACATCAACTAATAGTGGACAACGTCTAAGGTATAGATAACGTATACTGTTAGTTTTAAATGATATGTTGTTTTTCTAATTAGAAAAGTTAAATGTCCGGCGAACGATAAGAGTTGAGCTCTACTTGCTAAATCAACATGTTCAAAGTTATAAAACGTACAAGCAAAACAATATAGTAGACAAATGTTACACTTCTTTATACGTTTCAAATTTCCGTGGATGCGCATAAATGGCATTTATCAATAAGGTGCCTAATATTCCCAATGAATTTTCTCTTACATGAAGAGGAATTTTTATTTGTATTATCAAATATCAACGAAGGCATATCGTGCCATCAGGGATGACAAGAACGCGTCGTTGTGTGATTGAGAGCGAGAGACGGGAGGGGCATAGGAGGATTGGCAAAGCATGCCTATTGGAATCTTAGAGCAATAATGTAAAAATATTAGTTAGAGATGTCTAGAAACCAGGCATGTGTTCAAGAATGCAACAATATACCCCGTGGTTTTTTCTTCTTAAAACCTTATTTGCTTTCCATTATTTTTAAAATACATTTTTTTCTCTTATTTTCATTTATGCATTTTTCAATACAATAATATCACACGTAAATTTAAAAAAATTTCTTATTTTTAAACAGTATATTTTCCATCGCTCTAGATAAATACACATACACACCAATGCGTGTGTGTGCGTTTTGTAGAGAAAGCAAGTGGACCATATGGATGCTTCTTATGCAGGTATCCTGACCTTTTACATTTATTGAGAGTAGCA